TCTATATCAATGCTTACCAAGGCCTAAACAGGATTTCTTCTGCAGCTCCATGATGTTGTGTTAAAGCAAACAGCAGTAAATGTAGTTGTTTGCAGTTGCAGGTTTATTAAAATAGCTATTTTCAAATGCTGGTGAAAAGGTACTTGACCAATCAGTGATGTTCAGCACAGCAATCCCCATCAGAATGGAGTACCCCATAATCAGAATTTCATTCAGATTTCAGTGGAAATGAATTCCTCTAAAGGTTCTTCGTCCTCTTGGAAAGTTGATGCCGTAGAAACACAGCTATTAGACTGCTTACCACATTTTAGGGTGGCCTGAATGCATTCAGGGCCATTTTTGGAAGTGAAAAAAGTACCCACTCCAGCTACTGCTGTGTGGTCTTGATTGAAAAAAAACAACTGCTAAGATGCTAAACTCACAAAGGATATCAAACACCTTTCTTTCTGCCATCTTGTCCACGTCAAGTAGCAATTTTCTTCTCGCTAACGTTGCCAGCTTTAACAGAATTCACCAAATAAGTAAACATAACCAACCTCCATTGCTGTGCCACCTCGGTGCTTATAGAACTGGAGTTACTGGAGTCCATTTAGAGATGACACAATGGTCGAAACCTTCGGATCCAACACCACAATGGAAACAAAAAAGATGAAAGGGCCAATTAAGGGGCCATTCCTGTAAACGTTTGCTACACCTCATGGCTACCTTGAGTTTGTGTGGTGGAAAGCTACTTATTGAAGCTGCAGCGGCAGTTCAGTGAAAACTGAAGGTCAATTCATGGTTTCCAAGTCTGCGTCTGTGGACAGCTGTCAACTCAAACTCAAAACACAGACTTGCAAGAATAAAAGAGTATGCATTTTCTGTTTCTAGCTTCTTAAATTTGAATATTTTCTAGTTTCTTTACTCTTCTATGACAGTAAACTGAATATGTTTCGGTTGTGGGCAAAACAAGACAGTTGAAGACGCCATCTTGGGTTTTGGGGAAAGACTAATGAACTTTTTTTTTTTTTTTTAACCATGTCCTGATATATTATAGACCAAACACCTAATGAAGATATAGTTTCTGCAACTGCTCACCAAGGACGGAGAGTGTGGAGTACAGCACAAACATGAAAAACACGTCAGTTCACTTCAGCTCACTTTCCTGGCACACGTACAGTCGACGTGCTTCCTTGCACGCTCTGCAGAGGGGTCTGCGTGGGAATTGGGCAGATGAGGAAATTTACAACATGCAGAATCACACAGAAAACATGAATTGACGTGAAGGAACCTGGGTGTGTCTCTGGGTGAAGAGCTGTTGTTCTCTGCAAACACTGTATTTAACCCAGGAAGGCGCTGGCCTAAAGGATGGTGATGGTGAGACTGCTTCCTGCCACCTTTAAACTGCGGTCGAACCCTACACTTCTGCTCAGCCTTCGCCTCCGGGTGACTGGCCAGCAGGACGATGCGGCACTGAACCCGACTGTGTTTGCTTGTCCAGTCTTTAATGACATCGAAATCTTGTTCCTGTGGAAGCAACTGATTACAACTCCAAACCGAAATTGCTATTCTAGCAGTACTTTGCTAAACACAGTTATCTAATGCATCTATTTTTGCACAGAGGCATCAGCTAAATTTGTGAATGTTTGGTAACTGTCCTCATTTACTGCTTACACTAAACCACCAGAATCGATCATAGAAATAAAGGCTGCATGCAAAGAGAATATTTGCTGCACACTCATTTTGTTCAGTGTTGTACTAATTGATCTGTTAATTACTGAGTTGCTAAATTATCCAGCAGTTAGCATAGACATAAAGCAAACAGTTTTTCACTCCTCCAATGCTCCTCTGTAGACTTTATAGGGTCATAAGGTAAAAAACAAAAAAAGCAAACAAAGGAAATCTCGAAACAGCAGACCAAGCAACATCACAACATGCCTCATGGGTGGGGGAGGTTTTGTACTTTCATTATAATCTCATAGAACTACAGTGGACAGAATGAGTTAAACAGAGACTGTTAATGGATTTTACTAGTGCACATAGTGAAAGTTAACCCCCCCCTCAGACACGCACACACACACACTAGTCCTGGTCGCAGCTGGGTGTCTAGTCCGACAGGACTTTGACAGATGGTCCGATGGGACACTGGGGAGGGAGGGAGGGAGGAAACAAGGGCTAAAGAGAAGGATGGATGGAGGATGGAGAGGCGGGGACAACAATAATAGATGCAGAAGTGTCTGAATCGCCAATGCATGTGTGTTACTTGCATTGCTTGGGTTGCAGGGACAAAAACAGTTGCATTGTGGGGATTTTGCTTGATGTATTTGGGAGGCAAAAAGCAAGTACAAAAAACTGTTCACAGAGTTACCACCGTGGAGACTTTACGTCCTTTTGGGGACAAAAGGAAGACCGATATAAATCAGTACATTTTTAAAGTGAAGGCTTGCTTTAAGGTTGTTACATGGTTAATTTTAGGTTAGTAAAAGGCAGGTTGTTGTGCGTTATGATTAGATGATCTCTAGGAAATACATGTAGTGCAGTCTGAGGCGATGGAAACAGAACTCTGTGTGGGTGTGTGTGTGTGTGTGTGTGTGCAGGAGGGGAGTCATCTGTTCCTGAAAGAATGGAGGAATAAGAATAAGGGATATAAACCTCACGGGAGGCATGAAGGAACAATGTAACCCTGCTGACTCTGCATTTGCACTTATATGGATGCTTAGACACGTGTGTATTCAGACACACATGAAAACACCGGGCACACACACTAGGGTTATACCCCCATATGTGATTTTGGGTTAGTTTGATGTTACAGTATATTAGAAAATAAAGATGTTAAAAGAAAAAATCAATTAACTTAGACAAGCTTTCCTTCCTGATAAATGAGACTTTAATTGGATTCCCTGGCTGTTGCCTCATTATGCATAGGCTTTGTGATTGATTAATGTTTTGATTATGTCATAAAAAAGTGTCTGAATCTGACTGGTCCATATCAACTTCAATATAACTTTGTTTTCTTGGGAAATTCAAGCTTTATTTAATATGCAAAGAGAAGCCCCGCCCCCACGTGTGTCACTCAAAACTACTCTCATTGTGGTGACGCCCACCCCTCCTCGCACCCTCGCGCTGGCTGCACCCTTCTGAGCCCCCGTGAAAGCAGGTAGAAGGACACGCAGCTTCGCCCCACTTCCGTTTACGACTACCAAAATAAAATCCAGACGACGCCACAACGTGCTTCTCGCATTATGCTCTGAGGTGAAAGAACAAAATAATGTGACTTTAAAAAATACTCACCACCCTTGGAAGCGTCGCCCTTTTGCTGCCTTTGTAGTATAAAGACACCTGTGTCTGGAATGTCCAGCCACTGGTGACTCAGTACTCTTGGCCATAACTACACCCTGCAGATGAAAGAACACCCCAATTAACTCTGTGAAAAGGTTATTGAAGAGCACAAGTCACCGAATGACTCAAACATTTTGTTCAAGTAACTGAATATCTCATGGATTACAGATAAATCCATACTTAGGAAATGGAAGGACTATTGCACATGCATAAAACTGCCTAGAACAGGTTGTCCTCAAGAACTTAAGAATGTGCACCAAATAGACTGGTGATGGAGGCCACCATGACACCTATGAGTCCTCTGAAGAGTCACAAGCATCAGCGGCTGAGATGGGAGAGACTGCTCATACACCAACTGCCTGTTTTTCTTTTGTCAAAGCTTTATGGGAAAGTGACAAATAGGAGGCCACTGTTGAAAAAAACTCATAATAATTGTCAACTAGAATTCACCTGCAGGTTGTTTGGCCTGATAAGTACCAAAACTGATCTTTTTTGCTGTCAGACTAGAGGCTATGTTTGGCGGACACCAAACACATCACTCACCATGAAGTAGGGCGGTGGCAGCATCATGAAGCTTCTCTGCAGCAGACCCCAGAAGGCTTTTAAAGGTAGAATGTAAGATAAATGCAGCAAGGTATAGGGACAACCTGGAGGACAATCTGATACAGTCTGCAAGAGAACTGTGGATTTGTTTTCCAGCAAGGCAATGAGCTGAGGCATACAACGAAAGCTAAACAGATATGGTTTAAAGACAACAAGATGAATGTTTTTTGGAGTGGCTGAGTCAGAGCCCAGACTGCAATCCAATTGAAAATTTGCAGCTCGACTTGAAAAGGGCTGTTCACTCATGAGCCCCGTGCAACCTGAAAGAGCTTGAGCAGTTTTGCAAAGAGGAACGGGGTTAAATTCCAGTGTCCAGATGTGTGGGGAGTGAAAATATTCTTTTATAGGCTTTGCACATTTATAGGGAACATCATGTTTACTGAAAATTCAGTTAAGTTTTTTATGCACCATTTTGCAGTTGCTGCTTCCAGTTACACAAATAGTTAGACAGACACATAGATGTGATCATTTCATTGATTTTCAAAGGGTATTTGCAGTGTTGCAGCAACAATTTACATATAAAAAAAACACACAAAAATACCACTTACAACTGCCCTGATTGCTGCTAACTACCAATTAAATATGTATATTTTTCCACATTTCTGACACAGTTAATAATAAATAAACTTTTTTTGGGGTCAATTTTGTCGCAGTTGTTGTTCTTTAAAGACCCCAATGTTATTTCTTTTGCATTGAGTACTATGAAACTAATGGCATACTCAAGCATTTAATACATTTTTCAAAGAAATTATTGATAAAAATGAGGTGGTACTGTTCTAAATGCCAGCGTGAGGGTCTAAATATTACTGTACACCTATCCTCATGCAATACATGAAATAAAATGATCAGAAATATGTGCATAGTTTTATGGGAAGAATAGCTATTTGGCTAAATATGTAAAATAGTCGGCTGTGAATGCTTCATTAATCTTACACTAAACAATATTGTTCTGCTCTGGACAAATTCGGATTTTATTGTTTTTTTGAGAGGAAGGTTTTGTACTTTTACTTTGAAGGAAAGACGCAGGCCCCACGTTAAGTGGTCGTGAAATGTTGATACTTGACGCAGTTTCCCGGAAGATTGACAGCTTGTGCGGCTCGTTCAGCAGAGGAACCGATAGGTCCCGTTGTGTGAGCGGCGCGACCACAACTCACCGTCGCCAGCAGCTTTTTGTCGGATTTAATTTTGTACTTTTAAAGAAGTTTCCAGGAAGAGCGCTCAGTTTGGGAGATTACACAGAACCTCCGGGGCATGAAAGTGGAGCGGGCGCTTCAAACAAAGTAGAAGAGGAGGTAGACCTGTCCGTTTGATGGCTGCTGGGGATGGAGCCCAGCTGCCGGCCACAGTAGCGGCCAGCCGGAGCGTGGAGAAGGCGCTCGAGGAGGCTGCCGCGAGCGGGGCTCTCAACTTGTCCAACCGAAAACTGAAGGAGTTCCCCCGCAGCGCCAGGAACTACGACCTGTCAGACATTACACATGCAGGTCGGTGTGCTTTTCACTCTTTTCTACAACTTCTAACGCGGTGCGAGTGAGCGAGCTAGCTGTTATTATAACAGCCTTTTGTTTTATCGCCACCTGCTTCTTTCTTCTAACGGGAAGGCACATCCTTCCTCAGCCCCGCCGCGTTTCACAAGACTCTTTGAAATAACTCCGCTGCTTATTTTGTCCCGATGACTGCCACAAATGTGGAGCTGGTAAAATGTGAATGAAGACTTATTTCATATCACCAGGACCTACCTTTTAATTCGGCATATGTGTTCTCCACCTCAATGCAGTTTTATTATAAAGAATTCAATTTTTAAAACTAGCCATTCTCCTACCAAAACTGCAGCGTGGGCTCATGCTGTTAGCATGCAGTGTGCACCAGTTTAGGACTTGTATTATTTTATTTTATTTTTGTAAATTAACGTCCCAGCGTGGTGAACTTTATCAAAGTGGAGCTTATTTTATATGCTGTTACGTTTCTCGTTCAGCAAAGCCACATGAAGTTTCAGCTTTTTAAAGGGACTTCTCCTGAGAACCTCAAATAAGAGAAAAGAAAAAAAAAAACGTCAGACATGTCAGTTCCTCTTCCTCAACATATCCTCCTAAATAGGAGTGTAAACCTTATACACACTGGTCTGCTTTTGTGCTTGATTTATTCTGTTCAACACCAGTGTTTATTCACAAGGTTTTCTGTAGTTAATCGTAGAACTTTTTTGGCTTTGACTTTGGTTTTTCTCGTTTGAATGATGAGTCCTAGCATGACAACAACATGACAGCCCTGGACTACCCAGCCTCTGGTTATATAAAGCTTCTCTTTAAATCTCTCTCACTTCTCATCTCATTAAGCCAGGTTGCCAGGGACACTGAAAATAGTTACTGATAACAACAACAGAGAGTAAAACTTAACAGTGAAGTAGGTGTGGATGACAGTGTGGATTAAAAGGGAACTACCTTGGCCTCGCCTTGTTGAAAAGAGGATTACCCCATCCAGGTTGCTGAAATCAATCTGGCTACGCAGCGATTTAAAGCAACACCCCCTATGCTCCGCTGCTGCTTTCTGTGCTTTGGTAATTATGACCATCTGCTCATAACAACCCAGGTCTGGGCCCTGTGGGATGAGAAGGCCTTGAGCACACGTAAACACATGCAGACACCTGCCAGTGGGGCAAACCCAAGCCTAATGACTGTGGAGGTGATGAATATATTTTATACCTATGGTAATGCCTCTTCATTTGGAGGTCTTTATCTAAGTGTACGTTCTTGGCTTAATGAATAATCAAGCAGGCATGTAAGTAAAAGATCCAGCACTTGTTCCCAGTTTGAAGGTTCACTTTGCTGTTTATATACAGCAGTGCATACACTCATCATGAGTGTGACTCAGTCTATGAAAACGAATGTCTCCTGTTGTTCTGGAGGGGCTTTTTGAAATCTGACAAACTAATCCCCTGATGTCATCATGACATCATCAGGGTTCTCAGCTTGGACATGGAGACTGATGAAGTGAAACCTGTGTTAGAAATTTAAAGACTTTGACCATAGTGGCTACGGTAAAAGATGCCATTTGATTGCATTATGGGAAATGTAGGATCATGCGTTTTTGGAGCTTGACACATACTCAGGACGAAAACTGAGGATATCTTGGCCTCCACTGTACCAGGTTTAACCATTCTTTCTCTTGCAAGCTGAAACCTTGGAGGGGGTCTGCGTGCAGGGGTACATAAGAGGAGTCTTGAGGAAGTCTCTAATGGGTTCCACAAGTTTTTCCTGTGTGTTTGTTGCTTCAAGAAATCCAGTAAGAGTTGTACAAAGATTGTGTATGTTGTTGAAAATTAATTATCAAAAGACTAAAGCAAACACTGATCCAGTAAAAAGGTTACAGTGTTTTTGTTTTATTGCATCACATGCCATCATAAAGAATACGTCTTCAAAAACGTCCTCCTTTTTAAAGTACATGTTATATCATTACATTTTGACAAAGATAAAATCTACTGTATGTGGCACTGACATGAAATCAGGCAAAAGACGTTTTTAGTTATTGGGTTAAATATTGCAAAATGTCAGTTGGGTATGCTCCAGCTGTTACAGTAAACTCTTGCCATCTGAAACTGAGGAGGGGGCTTTGCATGGTTCCAGGCATACATTTGAGAAAAGCCTTAAATGGAATCTTTTAGCTCTGTTTGTTGCCTCCAGAGGTCCAGGAGGAGTCAAGAATCCAGAGGTCAGGTCATCAGGGGAGTTCTTAGAAGTCCCAAGAAAATTAAGGCTTACGTTAATTTGTATGGTAGCCTTTATTAGTCTAATTATCCAGTTAAAGCAGACCGCTACACTGATAAATCAAGATAATAATCACTCTTGTTACAGTACAGTGTACGCTGTGATAAAATGACCGCTACCAAACCATAGTCACTTACGGTTGTTGCAGAAAACTAGAATGCTCCACTTTTTTGTGGTTAGCTGTGGATGGACAGATGAAATATCTTCTGCATCTTTTTGTGAGAGTTTCTCACCTGAAATACTTTAAACTCAAGGCAAATTAGATTTTGTAGCATCTAGCAGCTGGTGGAATTTGTGGTCATAGCAACTGAGGGCCAGTGTTTTTGAGATCTTGTCGTTTATGCAGTTTGAAATTTGTGCTGGAAAACTTCTCTTGTGGATTTATGAAAGCAGTATCCAGGTAGCTGAGGCGACTGTTATGATGTTCCCGTATCACTCTTTATCAGATCAGATTCATGTTGGCGGAAAAAATAAATTGCTCAATATTAGTGTCCTCAAGTACATCTTCATTTACAGAGCTGCAGTAAAAGAAAATGGTGTTCTGCTTTAAAGTTGTTACCCAGATGCTGCACTATGATGTTACTGAGAAAGTAAGCTTTTAGAATCTGGTGTCTTTTTCATTGTGCCTGCATTTATATATTTTAAGAGTGGGCCACAGTGGGGAAAAAACAACAAAACTTCCTTCCGTAACTTGCAGCCACTATCCTGACAAAAAACCTTGCACTACCATATACTTCCCAGGCCTCCAGAGTACGACTATTTTGGGAACATCAGTAAATTGTAATGTCTACCGATAGTCTGCATGTGAGGTGTTTAAGGGGACATCTGTAAATTGTAGGTTTGGAAAACAACCTGGGTTACATTCTATCCTATCTAAAGTCTCTGCATGCACATCATGGGAACTGACAAGAAAGGTTAATCTTATAATGCATTGTTCAGTGATGGTGAAAAATTTGAACCAGCACATAATTTAGGTGCACCTAAATTAAAAAAAAGTTAGGTATAGCAGTGCAGTCTATGTACAAAGTTAATCCGGAGCCCTGCTTTGGGTTGCTAGCCACCCAATACACTTGTTAAATGAAAGCCATTTGAGGAATACCAGGGAATTTAATGCTTAATTGAATGAAATTAATCAATTAGACAGGGTGTAATACAGTTCTCGATTGCTAATGAGTGGAAGTATGCCTCTAGGGGTTAAATAAAGGTGTAACTAGTGACTGTAATTCATTCAGGTGTTCTATGTCTGTGCTTTTTTTCCCCCCCACCTCAATATAAAAGCGCCATCACTGACATTATTACTTTCGTCTGTGCTTTTTCTTATGAGTGTACGCTGTTTTCATATAGCCGTTTTGACATTTATAGCGGGGAAACCACGGGCATGATTAATTACATTAATAATGGCTGCATTCCCTTTAGGTGTTTTGAGTTCCAAGGCTGTGCTTACTTGCTTACTTGGACAATTATTTAGAATGGAGTCATCATTCTACGTTTAGTTACAACTCGGTTATGTTTTTTTGGTGCTAATGCATGTGTTCAGAATTTAATAAGAACTGTTGAGCAGGGCTGCAATTTTTATCACAGTTTGTGGCAATTATTTTTTCTTAAGGAAATTGTCAGATTAGTTGTTAAGTAGCTTTCCATCACAATTTCTTAAAGTTAAGAACAGTCCCCGATTTAAAAGTATTCGTTATCGTGCAAGCTACTTCTTGACCTCTGGAGCGATACCTGTTAATATGTTCAATGGACTGACTGAATGTCGCAGCTTCCAGGTTTTCATTCGTTTCCTCAGATGCTGAAGAAAGTGAAAATTGTGAAGCAAAAGTGTGAAAGTGAAACTGATTAAAGAAAGAAGGTTTAAAAATCAGTGTATCAGAAGCTGAGATATGCTGACTTTTATGTCCAGTCGGGGTCAAGCTCCATTAACACTCAATCCTATACTCCAATATGTTAAAAGCTTCCCTGTGTACCGATTGCACAGACTGAGTGGTATTCCTTGTGACTAATAAACAGAGCTTCATGCCAACTCAGATTTTGTTGATTGACTTGATTAACAGGCTCTAAATAGCAGCATTCGGTGCATGAGCAGATTTGTCATCTGGTTTACTGCTTCTTTGATCAGATAATTCTTCATTTACATCAAAATGTCAGAGATTCATTTGCGATGCTGTTGCTGTTTTGTTAAATGGAAAAAGGGTTTGTAGAAAAAGTATTAATCCAGAATTTAAGTTATGGTGTTGGCGCTAGTGTGAAAAAGTCTTCGGTTTTCCAGCTGTCACAGGGTGAAAATATGTACCGTAAGAAAAATCTGCTACAAGAATTCCTGAATTCCACTGGCAGCAGAATTGGAGCTCTCTTTCCACCAAAAGTTGCGAGAACTTTCAAGTTACTGGAACTAGGGTCTGAGAACCTTCCAAAGAGCTATTTTTATTCTGTAGCCTAGTATCCCTGGAATTTCATTTAAAACCTCATTTCTCTGGTGCAAACAGAACAAGAGTAACAGTTCCTCAAAAAGTTCTCGCTCACCAAGGAAGCTGCAGCTAAAAAAGAGGTTTTGATTTGAAATGTGTGTTGCCTCCCCCAACAGGAGAGGCTCAAAATTTAATAAATTTTATGAGGCATGTGGTGGAATCTCAGCATCACTCCTTGGGATATTTCAGTTGGCCTCAGTTTCATGTCCACACTGAATGCTGCAGCTGCTGACATCACTGTCATACGCGCTGGCT